AGTAAGGCTGCCCGCTGCTACGCGCACAGGCGGGCTGCATCTGCTGCCGCCGGTGGGGGGGAGGCCGCGCCTCGAGCCCTGCCTTGGCTGCTGGCGGCGGAGCCTCCGAGTCTTTGCTCCCCGCTAACGGCCTCGCCGCCGCTGCTGCGCCGCTGCCCGGCGGCGCAACGCCTGCCGGCCCGCGGGGGCGGTCGAGCCGAGGGGGTGCGGGCCCTCCCCTAGCTCGAGGTCGCTCTCCTTCGTCAAATGGTTGGTTGATTCCGTTCGTCCGTCGTTGGTCAGGCGGGCTCTCCTTCCTCGAGATCCTCTCCTCCCCCTTCAAAGGGGCGCCGCGGCCGGCGGAGAGCGGCGGGGTCCTCCCTCTCTCCCCCGCCGCTCTCCGCGACGGCGCCTCCTCTGCCTCCCTCTCCGCCCCCCTCTCCCCGGAAGTGGCGCCGCCGCCGCTGGGGACCCGACTCCCAGGGAGTCTGGGGACCCCTCCTCTCGTAGTGGGTGCCCGCCCCTCGCCCGCTCCCCGCTCGACGACGTCCAGGCCCACGTCCAGGCCCACGTCCAGGGCCTCCTACTCCAGTTCCTACTCTGCGCTGGCGAGCCGGCTCCGGCAAAAGTACTTTGGCGACCGCGAAGAAGGGCAACCGGGCCGGCGGCAACACGACCCTGGCTGGTTCATGAAACCAATCGTGAGTTGATTAGATTAGGCCCGGCCGCGGCAACACGTCCGACCCGGGGCTGCCGCCGCCGTCGGTGCACTCAGCGTTCTCGCCAGACTTGTCGACGTGAAGGCGCGCGAGACGTCGCATGTGAGCTCATTAGAATAAGGGCCCCTCGCGGGGCGGACGATGTCGCGAGAGTGCGAGTAGAGCAGTAGATGCCACAGAGCGCGGCGCCGGTCTTGCGCGGGTACAAGAACTCGTGAGCAGCCACAGTGGCTCCGACCAGCTCTCATTCCATGTCTCGCGAGAGAGGACAATAGCCCCTGTCCTTTTCACCACTCGCGAGTGTGGAGAGGCGCGAGCGGCGCGCGCCGTGTGTTGGGACTTGGGTGTATGGCAGACGGATGTGCACACAGTGGGGCGCGAGAGCCGCATGTGGAGAGGCAGCCCCCGCGAGAGCCCGAGAGAGCCCCGAGAGTGTGTGCAGTGTGGAGAGAGCCGAGTGAGTGTGGAGAGAGAGACGGCGCAACCATATTTTGTCATTTGCCGTGTCTGCTCCTTTTTACTCACCCACACATGCACATACACATGTAACTTGTGCATGTTGCATCGGATCGATGCAGAACTTACCAGTTACCTCCCTCCGACCTGGACCCCACGTTGGGCTCCTCCAACGCGACGACCTCGAGCAGCACGTCAGAGTAGTACCGCGGATCGGAGAAGGTGCGCGGGTCCGGGCGGCCCACCCGGTTGTCGAGGAAGTACTCCTCCAGGCGCGCGGCCACGCCTCGCCGCCTCAAAAAGGCGGAGAGTGGCGCCGTGAGCAGCTGACCCGGGTACAGGCCGGCGCCGCGGCCCGTGGCGGCGGTGCGGTCCTGCGCGAGCTGCGAGCCGCCCACCAGCGCGGAGCCGCTGACGACGTACTGCCAGCCGGTGGAGCCTCCGTCCTGCCAGTCGCCCTCGTCGAAGAGGTCCGAGCCCGAGCCGAGGGTCGTCTGCAGCGAGTAGCGCGAGAAGAGGCCCTTGGCTCGCATCGCATCCAGCAGCCTGCCGCAGCCGTCCACCGCCGACTGCAGCGACTGCCCCGACCGCGGCACGCCCGGCCGAGGCGACTCCGGCAGAGGCACGTCGCGCAGAGGCCCGTCGAGCATCGCGTCGCCCATCGCCTGGTAAAAGCACCGCTGCAGCCTCCTCCGCTCCTCCGGCTCGCGCTCGTCCGAGAGCGCGGCGGTCAGCACGCGCCACCGCGCGTACGCCTCGAAGCCAAACAGCGTCGAGTTGGAGAAGTCGCCGGCCGAGGCGGCGGCGATCAGCGACGGAGCGAACCCACGCACGGCGGTCCCGGGCGGTGGCTCTCCCGCCCTGCTCAGGGCGCCGTAGAAGGGCTCGTTCTGCAGCGGTGTCGGCGCTGCCCCGTCCTTGTACAGCAGGACCGCGTCTTGCCTTGCGTTCGGGACCTGAGCCTGGAGCGCGGCGCTCGTGCTCCCGCCGCACCTCGCTGCAACCTCGAGCGGCAAGTCGAGCATCACCCTCGCGAAATCGCGGTCAATCAGCGGCGGCGGGACGGTCGCCTGCGGGAGGGCGCGCGGACGCTGCCACGCCGGCACGACCTCGCCAGCCACCTGCTGCCACACAGAGTCGGCCTGGTCGGCAATCTGGGCGCCACGAACCACCGCTCGGCGAACCACGCTCGACAGGTCGGCGTCCGACGCAGCTGGACGCGGCACTGCGCCAACGCCGAGCGCCAGGAGCCGGAGGGCGGCCTGCCGATCGAGGAGCTGCATCGAGGCGATTGACGAGGCGAGGCGCAGAGCGACGAGGCGATCGGCGAGCAGCGAGAGGCGATCCGCGAGAGCACCGAGAGGCGAGCAGCGGTGAGCGCCTGGCGAGAGAGGCCCCGCCCAGGGTACCCTCTCCGAGGACCCACGCACGCTCTTTCGAGAGGACTGTCGCCGGGGCTCTGCTCCAAGAGACCTCGAGAGAGCGTGCGTGTGCCTCTACTCGCCAGGGTGAGCGCGAACTTGCAGACGGGTGAGAAGAAAAGCAGAGCCCGTGAGCCGTGTTTTTTACTTTCCCTCAGGTGTGGAATCTCACGGCCCCGCGTACGGCGGGCTGCCCGGCGAGCGGTAGCGGTCGAGAGGCGACCGCTTTGCATCCGAGCCGTAATATCGGCCGTTCCCCTCGAGCTCCTCGGAGAAGAGGAGGTGCAGGGCCGACACGGTGCCCTCGTCCGGCGTCTTGGCGCCTGCAAGCTTGGTCGCGAGGAAGCGGACCGCGGCGTTGGGGAGGGGCACCCACCAGGGCAAAAAGCTGCCCATGATGTCGGTTGCGACCATGCCGGGCGAGCACGCATTCACCTTCAGCTCTGGGCGCTCGCGGGCGAGAGCCATCGCGTACGCGTTTAGCAGCGCCTTGCTCAGGCCGTACGCTCCCATCGCAGCGCCAATGCCGTGCGCCTCGAGGTCCGGATTCGCCTCCACCGCCTCGAGGAGGCCGCTGATCTCGCGCCAGGAGACACTCGCGTTGGTGAAGAAGGCAGCCATGTCGGGCGAGGAGCGCGAGACGCAACCGGAAGCGGCGCCCGACGAAATCTGCACGACGCGACCTTCGAGCGGGTCGAGCAGCGGCCCAAACGCGTCGTCCACCCGCTTTGGCCCACGCACGTTTACGTTCAGAATCTCGGCCACCGTCCCTGAAGCGATGCCAGCGTTGTTGACGATGGCGTAGAGCGCCGGATTACCGCAGGATCCCTCCAGCGTTGCTGCAGCAGCACGAACGCTGCCGTCGGAGGAGGTGTCGATCTCGAGCACCGTGAGCCGCGCTTTCCAGTCCGGCCGCTCGGTGATGAGTGCCGCGACTGCATCCTCGCCGCGCGAGGCGCTTCGACAAGCCAGGACGACATGCGTGTCGCCATGGTCGGAGAGGCAGCGGTGGACGATGGCGAGGCCAATGCCTCGGTTCCCGCCCGTGACGAGTACGCGGCGGACCATGTGCGTGGAGGCGGCCCCCTCGGGCCTTGCGTCTCGGTCCCTCTGTTCGCCTCGCGCGCGCCCGCAGCCAAAGAATTTTCGTCCCGCGGAGGTGCGAAAAAGAATTTTCCCGCTTGCGCAGCGCTCTTTCTTTTTTACGTTTGCGCTCCAAGCAGAGTACGAGTCATGACCCGCGACGCTGATCACGAGAGGACTTAGGCTAGGTAGGAAGGTGAAGAACAGCCAGGCTCGGACTGGACACCAGCGCGGTATGGGTGGACGCGGGACAGATGATGACGACACGCACAAGCGACACACAGACACAAACAGGCTCACAAGACACACAGCCAGCTGGCTGCCACACACCCTGAGTTGGCATACACACATAACTCAGGGCCACATCCTCCCTGTCGCCCCCCCAGCCACGGTGCCAAGGACACAAACAAGGGCACAACAACACAACAGACGACAGGAAGTAACATGTGAGACTAGAGCAGGCTTGCTCCGTCTCTAGCAATCTCGTCGCCGGCCGCAAGGCATGGACGAGACCGTGTGTGGGGTCTTGTGAGGTGTCTTGTGAGGTGTCTATGGACGCCCTCCTCACAGGCTAGCGGCCTACTGCTAGCCCTAACTCGCACTCACGGGCGGTGTCAGTTCAATGGGTGAGTGTTTGCGAGCAGAGGCGCGTGTGCTGATTCTAGATCGCACGCCGTGGCATATGACTTGGGAGGCGTGCGACCGCAGCGCACCGTCGTAAGGTCGACGGGCGCGCGTGTCAGCGAGAGCGTTGCGGGCGGAGCCATACCCGACTTTGTCGAGGACGAGCCCCGCGCCACGGTTGCCAGCCGTGCCTTCGCGGGAGTCGCCCCTCGAGCCGCGTCCCGTCGCCACTGTCCCTGAGTGCGTCCCGCCTTGGCGGCACACACTCGACGAGGACAGTCCGGCCGACGGGAACGTGTCGTGCGCCGGCGACGATTGCGGCGTGGTGGGTCTGGGTGTGTGTACGAAGCGACGATGGCACAACCACCGCCCTGCATCGCAGACCGGGCAAGGAGGGGCCTTCTCGTGTTCCGCGGGGAACAGGAGGTCTCCCCCCCTCCCCCGGCCTGACTGAGCAGCGACGGGTGGAAGGCAGCCCCTTCGAGGTTGGCACGACTGTTATTCAGTGTGAGTGACACACACACACACACACACACACACACACACACACACACACACACACACACACACACACACACACACACACACACACACACACACACACACACACACACACACACACACACACACACTGTTATTCACACATTCACACCCGGTCCTTGCACAGGATATCACGCCATGGGGGGGACGAGCTGTACGGTACTCCGTCGGCAGCACCATGCCTCTCGCAGCTGTGAGCGCTGTCAGAGCGGTGTTTGCCTTCGTGTTGCCGCTCCTCGCAGGAGGCCAGCTGCCCGACGACTCCCTCACCCTCCTCGCCGTCGGCGACTGGGGTGGCACGAGCAACGACGAGCCGACGAACGCAAACCAGCTGGCGGTTGCTGGCGCGATGCAGGCCGTTGCTGCAACAAAGCGGCCGCACGCGGTACTCATGATGGGCGACAATTTTTACCGCCACGGCCTGAACTGTGCTGACGATGCCGGCGCGGATTTTGGATATGGCGAGGCGGCTGACGCGCACTACGACGTGGTCGTCGTCGCGTTCAGCGTTGCGCTTCCGAGGGCAATCAGGCGTGGCATGTCGGGAGATGCCGCCTTTGAGCGTACCCTCGCGGAGGCGGTTGCTGTCGACACGACCGCAGCTGGCGAGGCGGCGTCTCCGTCGAACGTGCGAGACATGCGGCTGGGCGCGTGGCAGCAGGGCGGAGAGAAGACGAGCCGGCGGGTCGAGCTCAGCTTGGTCCGCTTTCACCGCGACCCTGAGCAGCGGCGCCCCGCCTCGCTCCTCGCGGCGCTGAATCGCGCGCTGGAGGCGGGTGTCGCCGGCGGGCAAGGAGCGCTCGGCTCCGCCTTTGACGCCAGGTTTGGCGGGAGCGGCTCGTGGCGCATGAGCGGCGTCACGGCGCGGGTTGGCCGGCTGGAGGATCGGCCGTGCAACCAGAAGCACTCTCCGCGCTTCAACGCCACCTTCGAGGAGGTATATCGCGGCCCGGGCCTCGACGGGGCGCGGCGGAGCCCAGCCTGGAGGCCCACTCACCATTCACGACGCACCTCAGAGCGCGTCGCGGGGTCTCAGGTGCCCTTCTACGTGAATGCTGGCAACCACGACTACTATGGCTTCGTGCGGGCGCAAGTCGACTACTCGAACGACCCGCCCGCCGGCGCGTCGGGGCGGTGGAGGCGCCCGGCGGGGCCCATAGCACGACCTACGTGCATGGAGAAGTTCTCCTCACTCTCCCCCCTCTTTTTTAGGTACCCCGTCACGGACGCACGCCCCTCGCACGTCGACGGGTCGCTGTCGACGGCTCTGCTGCACCACTCTCGTAGCCTCCTCTCGGAGTCTTCTCTGAGCCTCCCCGTAGGTCGGTCGAGGCTCCGTGGTACACCTTCAGCCTGCGGCGGGAGAGGGACGGCCTCTCGGTGCTGGTGGTGATGGCCGACGCAGTCAAGTGGGCAGGCCTGTTCTCGCCCGATAGCAGTCGAGTGGTGCGCCCCACCTCACCCGCAGGAGGTTGAGTGTCCTCACGCTGCCTTTGGGGGCAGGCCTGTGCACGCCCTACCGGGGCAGCCTCTCGAGGTGGGGGAAGCAGACGCCGGTGAGCCGCATTCCCTCCGGTTTGCATTGGTGTTACTAGTTAATCTGACCACGCTCTGTCACCGTACCTCAGGTGAGCTGCATCCCTCCCGGCGAGCCGTGCGACAGCGACTGGACGGTGGCGGCGGACGGCACTTTCCACGTCTGCAGCTGCCTCCTCGGGGCGGACGGCGACCTTCACCTGCACCTGCGCCGCTCGGGGCATCTCGGAGCCGCCTCTCGGAGCCCGCTCGGAACCTTCCCTTAGGCGACTACTTTGACCTGCCGTGCTCGGGCCAGCGCACGAGGCGTCGAGGGACGGGTGTGAAAAAACGTTTCTTCACACGCACGAGCCGTGAACAGGCCGCGCGGAGCACGAGAAGGAGAGCGCGAGGGCGCACGAGGAGTGGCTGCTCCGCACGCTCGCCGGTGCAGCGCACGACTGGGTCATCGTCTCGGGCCACTACCCGGTGCGCCTCCGAGACGCCCGCGAGACACACGCACACTCTCACGCCAGTGCGCGGCCTTGGCGAGTCTTGCCCACGACTCGCCTCGCTTGCAGATCTGGTCGGTCGCCGAGCACGGCCCCACGCCCGAGTTGGTGGAGGAGCTGCGGCCGTACCTCTTCCAGCACGGCGTGGCGCTCTACCTCAACGGGCACGACCACAACGCGCGCCCGCCGCTCTGTCGAGCCTCAGCTGTGGCGGCGAGATCCGCCGAGATCGACCTCAGATTGGCGCGAGATTAGGTGCGGCGCAGCCCGTCGACAAAAGACGGTGTGAGCGGCGTCCTTCACCGCTCCAGCTGTGAACTACAGGCGCAGCACATCGTTGAGCCGCGAGCCATCGCGCACCTCGACAAGAGGGGCACCGATTACGCCCCGCCCGCAGACGCACTGCGGTCCAACAAGGCGGCCGTTAGAGATGACCTCTCCCCCCTACCCACACACACCCGTACCTGACCCGCGCTCTCGAGATGTGTGTATGCACATGCATGTGTGCATCGGCTGCAACTACGCTACATGAGGGCCCTGGTCATCACACTCATACAGGCGGAGGACTTCGTCGGCCCGTTCACTGCCGAGTCGATGCACTACGTCACGGTGGGCGCGGGGTCGCCCATCGACCACGACCACCACCACTCCCTCTCCGCATCGGCCCGTCTCCGCCTCCGCGCGGGAGGCCCGACCAGAGAGCTGCCTCGAGCGCGGCGCGTGAGGCTGCGTGTAGGAATGCTGCTCTTCGGAGGCAGACATAGACTCCGTTGCTCCCACGTTGCAAGTGATGGTCGATGGTTCCCCGCTCTAGGTCCCATTCTTCGACGCGGAGGGCTCCTTCGCGCGGGTCGACGTCGTGGACAAGCACACCGCGGTCCGCACGTGCCGGGGAGGGAGGCCGCGGCGTGGCTGCCTTGAGCGTGACGCGAGACTGCTCGTCGCTAGGTTGTGCGGATCCTCGGGTATGGAGGCGCCGAGCTGCACCGCTTCGAGATCGACAACCCGCGCCGCAAGAGCGAGCCGGGCGGCGGCGGCGGCGGCGGCGCGCGCGAGGCGACGGTTGGGGCGTCAGCGACGGACGCGACATTGCTGTACGGTTCGCTCGCGCTCAACGCAGCGCTGCTCCTCGCTTGCATCGCCGGCGGGGCGCACTGGCTGCTGCGGAGGAGGCACGCTCTCTCGTGCGCTCGAGCACACACGCAAACGCATTCTCACTGCTTCCCCACGCGCGCCGAGTCTTTGCTAGGACGTGGAGAATGCGGGAGACAGTCCCGCGCCCATGCTTGTGCATCTTAGGCGGGCAGCGAGGCCGATCATGGTGGACCGCTCATCCTCTGGCAACAAGCCGGTGGAGGTCGACATCGTGGCGATGCCGCCTCGGGTGCTCGTGGAGGCGCGGGAGGCCGCGGCGGCGGCACGCGGCGGCGGCGCGGCGAGCGCGGTGTAGACTCTCGAGCTCTCGACTGTGGTGGGCGTGATATTGGGTCCGGGGTTTTGTGCCCTTTGGCGGCGTGGCGGGCGCGGTGTAGAGCGAGCGCCAGCGGCTGTGGTGGGCGTGATCTTGGGTCCGGGGCTGCTTTGCCCGCTGTCTTTTTAACAACGTTGACCACCCAAGACTGCTTTCAGACGCTTACGCCAATTCCCCTCAACCTGCGCAAATCGTGCAACTCGCGGACCCGAGGAGTCTGGAGCTTCAGCTGGGTACAATCATGCCGCTCTCGGCACAGAAGCAGCGAGCGCGAGCGCCGCGCCGCGCAGCGCGCTGCCGAGGCTCAGGACGCGACTCGCGGGGAGCCCAGACCGTCCGGCCGCGCACCGGTTGGGTACTACTGGGCCCCCGGCCGGGCGAGCCGACAGGCACCTGGCGCAACCTCCTTACCAACGAGGCCATGGATCTTGGAGCAGCAAAGCGCGACACTAAGTACGCGGCTGAGCTGCTCGGGCTACGCCTCGACGTGCCGTGGTCAGTTTGGCACGGCTACGAGGCGGGCGGACGGGAGCCCGGCATCCTATGGAGATATGACGCTGAAGAGCGTACCTTCACGGTGCGCTTCGAAAACGAGCTCGACCTCGACGATCTCGAGGACGTGTCGTGGGCGGAGGTGCTCGGCACTGTGCCCATGGCGGAGTGAGACCCCCGAGAGCGCCGGCGAGCCCGCGATTTTGCATCGGCTGGACGAGCTGCCGCTCGTGCGCGCCCCACGCGGCGCTCAACCGCAAGATGGCGTGTGGCGCATGCGCGGCGGTCTTTGGATAAGCCGGCACGGCATGGCGCTGTACGAGGAGGACGCGGGCGAGAGCGACTCCGCCGATGACGACGAACTTGGCAGCGCGCGGCCAGCCGCGTCGCACACATTCACATCCCACCCTCTTTGCAACCACAGGTTCTGCGTACGCCGCTGGCTGCAGGTTGCAAAGTCACGCCATCGGGCCACGCCCATTATATCTCACCCGCTTTCGCCACACGCCCGTCACCTCGCCCGCCCCGCGCACGCCCGCGCCTCCGTATGCGAGAGAGAGATTTTTATTAACCAACAAGAAATCACGACTCTCACAGTGATTTGGGCTCGGCAGCTTGTTAGCCCTCAGCCGAAGCTGGGGCCGGTCCCGTAGCCGAGAGAGCCCGCGCCGATGAGTTCGACGCGGTCGGGGGGGCCTGCGGAGAGGCCAGCGAGATGGCGATCGCTGTACTTCATGGCGCCCTCAAAGTGGGGCTGGCTGACAAGCCAGAGGTCGATACTCTGGACGACCCATAGGATGCCACGAATGCCTGAAGGAGAGGGAGGCGAGGCCAGAGGCAGGCTCAGCTGCTCTCGGGTGATCCCGCTTTGGAGGCTGAAGGACCCGATGGTCCTGTCACATTCGCGTTCCGAGTCGTGGGGGTAGAAGAATTCGAGTAGAAATCGAGTCAGCACTTCCTTGTAGTACAGCGGACCGCCAGCCAGGCTCGCCGGCAGCATCCGCAGGGAGGCAGCATATGAGGCACCAGTTTTCTGGAGAGCTCAGCAGCTGCGGCCGCGGTGGCGGAGTCGGCCGCGGTTCGAGCGAGCAGCTTTTGGCTGCGGGTTCGAATCGCGGAAGGCTCATGCCCTCGCGGAGCGACGCGGGTCGCGCGGCGTGCGCGTGTGCGAAATGCGACAACAGACGACAGACGACAGACGACAAGGCGACTCACGCGCACTCGAGCCGACGCCGGAGGAGAGTGCGCTCCTCGAAGCTCACCGTGCCATGTGCACAGAGGAGGGCTCGGTGGAGGAGGCGAGAGCGGAGAAGCGTCTGGCGGAGAACGACGAGCGACGTGGATGGGAAATTCAAAGTGAATTTGAGGCCCGGCGAGGCTGCGGGCAGCGGCTGCGCCGGCCCCTCGACCCTCGAGCGAGGCCTCGCCGCGGGGACCTGGTCTACCTTTCGCCTACCTCGACGCAGTCCGAGCCCACCGTCGCCGCCGTCCTCGCCGTCCACAACACCTCCGACCTCATCCCACACCACGTGACTGGCATGGATCTCATGGTCTGGGACCCGGACCGCCTCACCTTCAAACCGAGAGAGCACAGGGAGCACCCGGGGTGCTTGACGCTCTTCCCTCCCTGCTGTGGGAACGGTGCCAACTGCATGCACCTACGCTTCTCTTTTCCAGACTGGCAGTGGCCAGATGGTCGGCCTCTGGATGTCAATCGAGTCCTGAAGCCGATCCCGGCGGCCTTACTCGAGTAGTTGCGAAGATGAGGGAGATGTACGGGCGCGCGCGGGCGGGAAAGATCCTCTCAGACTTTAGAGGCATTGTGGGCGAGGCCGCGGACAAGTCGGGAGATTAGATTATTATGTCTAAATCTTGTCACTTGTGTTGAGCCACACTGTAGCGGGGGGCCCCGCCGGAGGCTGGTTACTGATTTACGACCACGGCGCCTCCGTCGGCTTTCGGCCTGGGCTTGATTCGCGCCATGGTTTCTCAGCTCGACCCCTTCCTCTCTGTCGCCGCGAACTGGTTCGACGAGGCCTTCCTCGACGGCCTCGCGGCACCCAAAATCCCCGCGCCGCTGGACGACGGCAAGTGGATGTTGAAGCCCATAATCGCACCTTCGGACAACGCGGGACCGTTGACGCCGCCGACGCTGCCAGCATCGCCCTTGGGCGGGCCGCCAGTAGAGGACGAGCGACCTCGAGCCGTGGTGGCGATGGCATCGTCGCAGAGGTTCGCCTGGCGGCGCGACGACGGCCGCGTGCCGGACATTCAGTCAAATGCAGCAAGGGGGGGTGCGGGACAGTCGCCGGCGGCAGAGCCTGATGCGGTGACGGCGGTATGGCCCCGGCCGGCGCCGGCGCCCTCTCGGTCGACGGGCCTCGCCGCACCTTGCGGGGACGTGGAGGCCAGTGCGGCCGCGGCTTTTCTGGCGGAGGCCGGCAACGGCGGCGCCGAGCAAGAGGCTGCCCGCACCCCCACCAAGCTGCAGACGGACGCCGGCCTTCGCCTCATGCGCGGGATGCTGCTGCGCACCAACCGCGCCAACCACACGCCGCTCGTCCTCCGCAGCTTTGCCCGCATGGTGTGGGCCCAGATCCGCCGCCTCAGCCAGCAGGAACTCGAACACATCGTCTCTGCCGACGCCCCACAGCCTCGGCCTGCCTGCCTCGCCGCCCGCCCCTTCTTCCCATGCACCGCTTCCTCCCCCCTCGCCGCCGCCACCAGCGTCGACCAACCGTCGCCGCCGCGCCCCATTTCCCCCTCCCGCTTCTTCTCCTACTCCCCTCCCCCGGCTCCGCCCCTGCCGCCGCCGCTCCCACCGTGCGACGGGGCTGGTCGCCGCGGTCAGAGCGCCGAGCAGGGGCCCGGCGGGGCTGTAGAGGCCCGGCGCGTGCGCCCACGCCACTGACCCCCGACTCGGTCTTCGGATCCGAGTGGCTGCGAGCCTCGACTAGCCGCCGAGGTGACGCGCTTCTTCCTGTATTTGGGGGCGCGGGGGTGCTCCTGGCGCCACTTGTTGGGGGCTGGCAGCTCTGCTCATTGCTGTCTATTCCAGCCGCTCGTTTGATCTTTGATGGATGTGGATGTGTAACATGCATGACGTGTACTCCATAAAGGCGCCGGTTCTAGACGTGAACAACGACAATAGAGCAGACATCTCCTGGAGAGATACAGATAGAGGGAGCGGACCCTGAGTTGAGGAAATCCGGGGACGCGACCCACCTCGCCACAGTGCACAGACGGTCCCGCGCCTCGCCGCTATGACGGGCACACGCCCCGCACCGTCCGCTGTGTGCCCGTCTTTGTCCGGATTGAAAAGTCCAACGCGCTCGTCGGTGGCGGCGTCCCCGGATTTCGCCGCGCTCGGCGAACCTCGACAGCGCTTTCGGTGGCATGCAGCTCTTTGCGACAGAAGCCTGGAGAGCAGCTCCTCTGCTGCTCACACACTCTGCACAGTTGACACAGCCTACTGTGCGGCTGCCACAGCTGTGACAGCGATGGGCTCGCCCTCACTGGCCCTCAGTCACTTGTGCTGCGGCTTGTGTGAGCGACACTGCTCGGCGACTGCCGGCACACTGTGAGACCATGGGTGTGAGGTAAAACCACGCTACCAGCGCTTGGTCACATCGGCCCCGAGGTCAGATCCATCTACTCTGTTGATGACAAGACTTGTCTACTGGCTGGAGCCGAGCAGGAGGGCCCAGCGCACAACCCCTGGTCAACTCAGGGTCCACACCCCGTAGGGCGACAACGCGACGGGCAGACCCCGGTCCCCGCGCCCCGCTGCGCCGCTCGGAGTCGGAGCGGGCGTGCACCACACAGCACACAGACATTATCTAGATAAATAAATAAATTAAACGGGCACGCCAAACGAGGGATGGGAGAAGGACAGGGTCCCCACCTGCACGAGCAGGATCTTGTAAGGACGATCAGGGACACATAGGGGAACGGGAGCGGGGAGCGCATCGCGACACGGAGGGGGGCTGGGTAGGGTTCACCCACACGACAGGGTCCCAGGGATTCCGGGATTCCTCTCTCGTATAGGACAGGTTGCACCCGGCGGCACGGGGGCAGGCGCGGGCCTCCTACTGGTTGCGCTCTCCTAGTTCTCCTGCTCCTGACTAATATCTAGAAAAAAGAAAGAAAGAAAACAGACAACCCAAGGGAGGGATGGGAGGACGGCACGCCGCCACCACACAGGGATTTAAGGAGAGGAGTGTGGTGCTAGCCGTCGCCCACCCTAACCCTTGGTCGTCTGCCTCTTTCTATCTCCCTTCGCAGTCCCTCGCCGATTCTCGCTGCAACCTTCATGCCACCTCGCGGTCGTCCCACTCTCGTCGTTCTCCCTCCTGTCGTTTCCTCCTCTGTCGCGTCGCTCTCGTCTGCCTCGTCCTGCGACGCCGCCGCCGCCTGCCGATCCCTTGCTCTCGCGGCTTCTCCCGCCTTTCGGCGCAACTCTGCCCTCCTCGCGGCATATTTTGGCCCCTCGAGTTTATCGAGCTCTCCTCGCGCAAGGACGACTCTTCTGACGCCCACTCCGATCATTTGCCGCCAAGTCATACATATCGTTGCTCAGGTCCAATCTCTCTTCGAACACTTGTACCTCCACCGATGATGTTGGCGCTGGGTCCCCTTCGGGTGCATCGTTACAGCTGACGACGGGATTACCACTGGTGTTTCGTCTTCCTCGGAGTCTTCTTCCCCGGCTTCCCCCCGTTCGGCTCTACGTTCATTACGTTCATCGTGGCTCACCCTCCATGCCGTGAACAGGCGCTTTATCCATCCTATATTCTTCTCTCTCTCCTCTGCCCGTGCCTTGGTCTTGTCGTTGTTTCGCACCCATGTCTAGACGGCGGGGAACGAGAATTCTTTTTCCTCGAAGGCGGAGGAGCTCAATAAATAAATAAATACAACGGACATCCCAAGCTAGGGCTGGGTCGAGGACAGACACGTCCCCACCTTTGCAGGATTTTGCAAAAGCGAGGGGGGAGGGCGCATCGCCGCGCGGAGAGGGCTGGGCACAGGGCACAGGGGATCTCTCTCGCATAGGATATGCACTCGGCGGCACGAGGGCAAGGCTGGGCGTCCTATGTTTGTGCTCCCCCCCGGACCCCTCGCTCTCGGGCACTAACCATCTGACCACTCATCGACGGGGCTTGGCGAGCGGCCGCGCTGCGGGGCAGGGCTGGTGAGGATGGGCTCTGGCCACTCGCCCGTGCGGTTGTAACCGCGCATCAGCCAAGGAGCTCAAGGCTGGCGAGTGGCGCCTCACTTTTTCACAGGGGACCCGTCTGGCTTTCCTGCGCATGCTCGAGCCCCTCGGCGAGGGCTTGTGCACAGAATAGCAGGTGTGGCTCTACTCGCCAGAGCTCAAGGCGGCCGCCCCGCCCCGCGCCGCAGCCCTCTCGCGCCTGCTCACCGCACCGCGCGTGCTCGTAGGGCATCTCGAGGGTGCGGCCAATGAGCACGCGAGGCCGATGCACGACGCCGACCGCGCCAGCGCGCTGCTGCTCCAGCTCGTCCCGGCCGCCGTGTGGTGAGACGGCCTCGGGCCCGAGATGCCGGCCCGAGAAGACTCGAGGAGATGACCCGAGGTGGCCCGAGAAGACTTGAGACGACCCGAGGCTGCTCGAGGTTAGGCGGGCGGAGCGGGCGCTCCTGCGGGGTGAGGTGAGCGAGCCCGTCCTGCGGTCGCTGCTCGAGTTCCACCAGTCGACGGCGGAGCCGCTGTGCCGCGTGTTTGCCTACGCGCTTCCAAGCGAGGTGAGGCTCTAGAGACCTGGAGGCGACGACAGAATTGCCACACAACGCCGGCGCGCTCTCAACTCCACCACGCATACGTAAAGTGCCATGCAAGCGCCACGCTCTACCCCGCCCTGCGTGCGCTCTCCCAGGCTGCGCTGCGGGCGGTGGCGCGGCACGCGCGGCACGGCCTCGTCGAGTGTGGCGCGCGGCGGCGGCCTCTGGGCGGCGCGCCTCGGAGCCCTCCCGGAGCCATGTCGGTCCCTCCCCTAGGCGCGGGGAGCGGCCTCTGGGCGGCGCTGCTCCGCAGGCGTGGCGTCGCCGTCGCCGCCTACGACGCCGTGCCGTGGGTGTGCGAGGCTGGCTTTGGCGAGGTGCAGCGCGGCGGCCCCGAGCGGGTGGGCCGCCATGCGGACGCGTCTCTGCTGCTCTGCTGGCCGCCGCTCGAGGCCTCCGCCTCCGGCAGCAACACGATGGGCGTCCGAGCGCTGCGCGCCATGACGGGCAGAGGCGCGCTCCGCCCGAGCTGTGGTTGCCGGCCGCGCGGCACGCCTCACGCCCCGCTCACGCGCCCTCCCCCGCCGCGGCGCCACACCTCAGGCGCGCTTCTGTACGTCGGCGAGTGGCGCGGCGCCGTCGGCGTCCTCTCTTCGCTGGCGCCTTCCACCGCCGACCACGGGATGGTTGGCGGGCCGCAGCTGCAGGCCGAGGTGGAGCGGCACTGGCGGCTCGCCGAGTCCGTCGCCCTGCCCCGCTGGCCAGGCGTGGGGAGCCCGCAGGCGGGGCACCGCCTCTACGTCTTTACTCGCCGCCAGCCACCGCCCGAGCCCGCGGAGGAGGATGCAGACGCCGCCGCCCCCGCCGCCCCCCCGCCCCCGCCGCCGCCGCCGCCGCCGCCACCGCCGCCGCCTCCGCCGCCGCCTCCGCCGCCGCCTCCGCCGCCGCCGCCGCCTCCGCCGCCCACTCAGCGACAGCCGCCGCCCGTTTCGGATGGCTACGCCGCCCGGCGCGAGAGGCTCTCTCGGCTGCAGGGTGAAGTGGACGCGCCTGGCCGGGAGTGGGCGTGGCTCATCGCCAGCCTGCTGTGGGAAGAAGCTTGCCGCCCAGAGGAGATTTGATGAAATGAAAAGTAATATATATCTTTACTTCCATGTTCCAACACCCGGACGCGCGTTCCCAGGGGCGCCAGGGTGATGGAAGGTTCGACGCACCCCCGGACTGGGCGGAGAAATGAAACATTTCGGAAAACGGTGTGGTCCTATACACCCGCCCACACCGCGACACCCCTCGCACGCGGTCATCTCCGCTCGGTGCATATCCCTAGGGTGGGAGCTTCTCCTCTGAATGCACTCTGAGCCGAACTAGAGCTCGTCGTGGCCGTCGAGGTCGTCGTCGGCACCGAAATCGCCGCCGCCGCCCGGCGCGCCACCCGACTCGCGGTACACCTTGGAGATGATGGGTGAGCACACGTCCTGCACCTCCTTGAGCTTCTCCTCGAAGTCCTCCTTCTCGGCGTCCTGCGGCGCGAGAGAGGAGGGGGGGGTGAGAGGGCGGGCGGCGAGGCGGGTGGCGGGTGGCGGGCGGGCGATCGCCTGGTTGTCGTCGAGCCACTCGTTTGCCTCCTCGATGGCCTTCTCGACCGCCTCCTTGTCCTCGTCGCCAATCTTGTCGGCGACGCCCTTCTCGCCGTCCGAGAGGGTGTTCTTCATCGAGTAGACGTAGTTCTCGAGCGCATTGCGCGCCTCGATCTTCTCGCGCACCTTCTTGTCCTCCTCCGCAAACTCCTCCGCCTCGCTCACCATGCGCTCGATCTCCTCCTGCGACAGCCGCCCCTTGTCGTTTGTGATTGTGATCTTCTCCGACTGCCCCGTCCCCTTGTCCTCTGCGCCGACGTTCAGGATGCCGTTGGCGTCAATCTCGAAGGACACCTCGATCTGCGGCACGCCGCGCGGCGCCGGCGGGATGGAGCCGAGCTCGAACTTGCCGAGCAGGTGGCAGTCCTTGGTCATGGTCCGCTCCCCCTCGAAGACCTGGATCATCACCGCGGGCTGGTTGTCCTGGTAGGTAGAGAAGACCTGCGACTTCTTCGTCGGGATGACGGTGTTGCGCGGGATGAGCTTGGTCATCACGCCGCCCACGGTCTCAATGCCGAGCGTGAGCGGCGTCACGTCGAGCAGCAGCAGGTCCTTCGTCTCCTCTCCGCCCTCGCCGGAGAGGATGCCGCCCTGGACAGCGGCGCCGAAAGCGACAGCCTCGTCGGGGTTGATGCCCTTGTTGGGCTCCTTGCCGTTGAAGAAGTCCTTGAGCAGCTGCTGCACCTTGGGGATGCGGGTGGAGCCGCCGACGAGCACGACCTGTGCAGATGCGTGCGAAGGGATAAACGCCGGGAGGGGGCACAAGGCAGAAGGCAACGGGACGGGGCAGCACCTCGTCGATCTCGCTCTTCTTCAGCTCGGAGTCCTCCATCACCTTGGAGACGGGGGTGAGCGTCTTCTTGAAGAGGTCGATGCAGAGCTCCTCGAAGCGCGCGCGCGTCAGCGTCTCGGAAAAGTCCTGCCCGTCGAAGAGGCCCT